ACTCGAACTAAAAAAAAAAAAAAAAAATTAAATAACTGGAAATAAACCCACAGAGTTTGCAGTGGTCAAGGAATTCTGGTAAGGACACCGCGGAGACCTCCCTGTGGCGTGGTGTGTCGCCAACAGCCGACCTTTCTGTGAGTTTGAGCTGACATCCTCCTGAGCCATTTGGAGACTCACACTGCCTTAGCCGTGTTGCCCCTTCGTGTGTCCAGGGCAGTGAGGGCTTGCTTTGCCATGGGAAGACAAAAGTAGGAAATGCACCACAAATAGACGATCTCTTCCAAGGGTCTCGGGAAGCCCCCCCTGTGTGCCAGACCTGGCGAAGGTTTTTAAAAGTTTTGAAAGACCAAGAAGGCTCAAGCGCTGGCTTTGATGTGTTCGCGGTCTGGTGAAAGATATAAATACATCAGGTAGGGTGTGCAATGCAATTTGAAAAGCTGGCTTTACGGTGGCTCATGCCTGTAATCCCAGCACCTTGGGAGGCTGAGGGCTGGGAGGATTGCTTGAGCCTAGGAGTTCGAGACCAGCCTGGACACCGCAGCCAAAACCTGCTAAGCATAAAATTAGCTGGGTGTGGTGGGACTCACCTGTGATCCCAGCTACTTGGGAGGCTGAGGCGAAAGGATCCCTTGAGCTCAGGAGTTAGAGGCTGCAGTGAGCTATGCTAGTGCCGAGGCACTCTAGCCTGGGCGACAGAGAGATCTTGTCTCTTAAAATAAAAAAGGGAAGAGAGGAAAAAAAGAAAAGATGACTCTTTATAATAAAAGCCAAGCGTGTATGGGTCAGATGCCCACAGGGAAGGATCTAGACGCCTCCAGAGTAGATTTCACAGAGGAGGTGGTGTTTTGGCTACCAGCTGAAGATAGTGGAAATGTACCAGTCAGAAGCAAGGCTGTTCCAGGTGGAAAGGAATCCTTCCCCCTCCCCTGCCAGCAGGCAGGGAGAGACACATGACTGCATTTCAGAGAGGGCTGCTGAGGCCTGGGAGCTGCAAGCTCATCTAGGGTTTTCTTGGTTTGGGTGACTTTTTTCTAGAGATGGGGTCTTGCTATATTGCCCAGGCTGGTCTCGAACTCCTGGCCTCAAGCGATCCTCCCGCCTCGGCCTCCCCAAATGCTGGGATTACAAGCATGAGTCACCACAACTGACTTGTCCAGGGTTTTGATCCCTCACCTGTCTGTGGTCCCTGCACCAGGGTCGACTCCCCGGGTTGCCAGGGGGGCGCCTTGGAGGCCTCCTGGGCCAGGGGAGCAGGGAACACAGGAGCGGCGGGGAATGCCCCCCACCCCACAGGAAGCTGCCTCTGTCCACTTGCCCACTTCACGTCTGAAGTGACTTCACGGGCGACTTAGGGAAGACACCCCGCCCAGCCAGCTCTCCCCTGACCGGGACCCCAAGGGGCCGTGCCGTTTGGGGCTGGGAGACGTGCCCCCGGGTCCCTTGGGCCGAGACAGACCCCATTTCTGTCCTTCAAAGACGTCAAGGCTCGCTCCGTGGGCTTGGGGGACTCTCGGGGGCCTCACAGAGGACCCCCTGACACCCTGAGAGTCAGCTGGGCCCAGGGCTCCGCGGTGCATCTCCGTCTGGCTTGGCCCAACCCCGTGAATTCTCCCTGTGACTCCCCGACTTCCCAGGCAAAGGCAGCTGGAGTCCGAGTCCTCGTGGTGGGACGCGGGACACCCCCAGGACAGCGGCTTTGGGTGCTGGTCTAGAGAACGAAGATGGGAGCTGAACGCACCCCTGGCCCACGCCGGGAGGACTTGGCTTCTGGGGGCGGGCGCCGGAGCCGCGCGTGCGTGCGGCAGCCTCCAGCCTCTGGGGCTGCATCGTGGAGCCCCTCGCCAGCCTGCCTCCCCGGCGCTGGGCCACCTCGCCGCAGCGAGGTCAGCTCCAGGAGGCCTCCCCTGAGGAGGAGGGCGGCCGTGTCCCCACCCTGCGCCGAAGTGGCTTTTTTTTTTTTTGTCTTTGCTTTCTCATCAGGGCTTTCCGGGGCACTGTGGGATTTGCCTGGTTTAATTTTCTCAACTCCCCGTAAAGATGCATTTGCTCTGCTTCCGGAAAGCCAAATCCATCAGATGGCGCTTTTTGAAAGCCTGTTTCCAAAGACAAAGGGGCAGTGCCCACTCTATTTAAAAGGATTTCCGTAAGCGCAGGCGGTCGGCTGCGGTAAACCAGATCTGACCCTGGGCTCGAGTCCGTCACCTCGGGCGGCCCAGGGGCTTGGTGGGGGTTGGGAACCGCCCCAGGCGCCCCTCCCCACGGTGTCCCTGGGCAGGTCCCTTCAGCCTCCTTCAGGGCACGCGGGAGGAGCCAGAACTCCTTCCTCGCCGGCTGCAGACGGGTGGGAGAAACAGAGACGGCGGCTCGGAAAGCCAAGTCCTGTACTGGGACTCAGGCTCCGTCACCCGCGGCTGCCTGGGCAGTTAGTGGCAGGAGTGGCTGCGGTGACAGGCGTCTGTGGGCGCGCAGGCCCGGCCCCAAGACCCACCGTCCACAGCCAGGCGCCCTGCTGGCCCTGAGGATGCGTCCGGGATGCCGCCCCAGTGGCCTCTGCGTCTCCTCTGAGGCATGGCAGGCCCACTGGGATTCTCAAAGGCTGCGTCTGCCTAAGCGTGAGGACCAGGTGGCCCGGACTCCTCTTCTCTCCTGGCCTGGGGGGATGTGGCTTTTGAGTCACGGGGATGCTTTGGGGTGAACGAAATGGAAGGACGCTCACAGTGTCAGAGCTCACGTCGTAGATGATCGTGTCATAGCGTAGATCAACGTGAATGTTTATCTCCTGAGATGCAAAGTCTGGGGCAGCCCCCGCCACTACCCCAGGGGCTTAATTTAGCAACTCAACAGGGCCCACCTCCCCAACCCTCCCCCTCCCACACGTCATCCTGTGTGTGTCAGCAGTGCCTCTCCTCGTGGTCTCAAGGTGGCTGCTGTTGCTCTAACATCACATCATCACAGAGTGGCATCCAACCTGGGAAGGGTGGGGGAGATGTGCACGGGCCGAGACCCCCCTCCTCGCGTGACCCTGCCTCTGTCTAGGGAGGCGAGCCCTCTCCTTGAAGTCCCCCAGGACTCCCCCTGTGATTCCTCGGCCAGGACTGGTCAAACGTCCACCCCCACTGGCCACGAAGGTTGGGGGTCATGACTTACACCGGTCAGGCCCATCCTTGGGGCCCTGTCGCCGGTTGAGCCCCAGTGCGGCCTGTTCACGGGGAAGATGTTCGTGCCACAGCCTGCTTCTGACTCGAGAGGCCCAACTGGGCTGGGCTCCCATCACCCAGGCACTTGTTTGATGTGCCTCAGTTTACCTGGGAAAATCCACAAAAGAAGTTGCATAGCTCTCCTCTAGTCTATGGCTGCCCCAGGCTGGGACTTTGGCGCCAGACGGTCCAGGTTCAAATCCCACCTCCGCCTCCCACCGTTCCTGTGGGTTTCAGGCACGTTTCTTAGCCCAGTTTTTCTAAATGTAGATGTCATTCTGCAGCCATTTATTGAGCACCTACTGTGTGCCAGACACTGTCCAGGGTATTTAGAAAACATCCGTGGGCTGGGTGCAGTGGCTCACACCTATAATCCCAGCACTTTGGGAGGCCGAGGTGAGAGGATTGCCTGAGCCCACGGGTTCAAGACCCGCCTGGGCAACTTGGCCAGACCTCATCTCTACAACAATTCAAAAAATTAGCTAGACGTGGTGGCGCGTGCCTGTAATTCCGGCTACTTGGAAGGCTGGAGTGGAAGGATCACCTGAGCCCAGCAGGTCGAGGCTGCGGTGGCCGTGAGTGTGCCACTGCCCTCCATCCTGGGCGACAGAGTGAGACTCCGACTCAAAAAAAAAAGAAAAAGAAAACATCTGTGAGCAAAACAGCCATCTTGTCCCCGTGGAGACCAGCTAGCACTGTGCAGACAGACCACTAGCACTGTGTAGAAGGAAAAGCAGGCGTTATCACACACTAGAAACGGAGCCCGGCTCGGGAAGGGGAGAAGAGGAACAGGAGAAAACCAGCTGGGAGGGCCGGGGGAGGTCAGGGTGGGCTTCGTGGAGGAGGTGGGTGTGGGTGAAACCTGGAAGGCGAGGGAGTTAGTCATG